AGAACTGCCGACTGACCAACATCAGGAATATGGCCTACCTGGAAGTGCTTCATAGACAAATCTCACCGCCTTGCCGTCAAATGTATATGTAATGTGTCTAAATGTGCTTGCTGGTAGAGATTTTGGATGTCTTAATTTGTGTTCAGATAGGACCAGATGTGAAGAGAACTTTGTTCTAATACCACTGTCCATCCTCATGGCCTTTTCCCTTTTTCTATCTAAAAAGTATTCTGATAAAGGAAAAAAAGACCGCGCCCCTGTAGCAGCAGCAATGTGCACTCCGCCCATCTTTCGGACAACTGTTCGAACATAATCTCACTGTATCTCGGTACAATGATAATAAAGCTTATTCTGATATATACAGTATATATATATATATCAGAATAATATATATTTTAAAAAAATATATATATATAGTATATATTGGTAGCCATTTTGGGTTTCGACACGCCTACTGGATTGATTGACAGGTCAGAAGAAAGAAAAAAAACGAGCGCTGGCAGCCGCAGCGGTGTTCTGTGTTTATATGTTGTTAATAAAAAGATTTTAAAAAACAGGAGGCGCTGGCTCTGTAGCCCAAACATCAGACCAAGAAATCTCCAGACATTCCCACAGCCATGCTGGACCTGAGTTTAATTCGCTCATGACAAATTCCTTCATTTCTCACCATTTCAGTCATGGCATCACCGGAGGAGGAAGAGATTACATGCCTCTAGACAAAAAAACAAAAGAAAAGGCCAGAACAGGGATGAAGAAGGGGAATTTAATACATTGGAGTTGCATACAAAACAGTCAGTCGCCGGGCAGTTTATTGTTTGACACCACATACACGGTCGTAAAAATTGAGCTGTGCACGGACATGGCCTGGGGGGGTACACTCTTACCTCCGCGTACGTATGTGCGTCCCTCCGCGTATGGACGTACGCGGGAGTATACTGGGAGCTTTAGTGAGGATCCACAACTTCTCCTCCCCCACCATAACCCTCAGCACTGGCTTTCCTCAGGGATGTGTGTTGAGCCCCCTCCTGTTTACTCTGCTCACGTATGATTGTGCAGCTACCCATCCAGGCTGTCACATTGTAAAGTTTGCAGATTATACAGCAGTGGTAGGATGCATCATAAACAATGATGA